GTACACACTGTACTCGTCAGACCTCAACTCACTGCAGCTGAGAGCCTGAACAACTAATACACTAAATAACACACACTCTCACACAACGCTAATAAGTTACAGCATGTCTGGCACACTCATAAATAAACTTGAGAAATTAAAAAAAATGAGAAAACATTTGTTTTTGAAAACAAAATAAGTTTTTTTTTTCCTTAGAACACTTTACAATAAGGTACACAAAATTTGATTAACTACTAGGGAACACCTCAGGAACGAATCAGGAGCTAACCAGTACTTACTGGGGATCACACAGCCAAGCCTTATTAGGGGATTACTAGCTAGTCACTTTGTAAATGAAGAGGAACTAATCAAGAACTAATGGGTAGTTAACCAGTACTTACTGGGGAACGCACAGCCAAGTCTTATTAGGGGACTACTGGTTTGCTACCACAGAAACAGAAGAAATTCTCCATGTGGGTTCTGAATAAACCCTGCACCAGTGAGGTCACAGCTCATAATTGTCAAAAACATGTTTCCCAGCGATTACTGGTTTTATCGGCTTTCCTCTTTTGTAAACCTATTGATGAAAGACATTATCAATTTCATAATCTTGTACTGGTGTCATCTCAACTATGTCTGACTATCACTTACTGATACCAAATCATTGCCTGGCTGTTATTTTGTTCACAGATGTAGTGAAGCATCATACCAAGTACTTACTGAGGAACTAATCATTACTTATTCACTACCTGACCATTACCTACTGGTTTGTTCATGTGGTAACAAACCAATAGTTCCCTAATAAGGTTTGTGAGTGGTTATTGGTAGTGTTAGCAAAATATCATTCAGAGTAATCACTGAATGCTCATGTACTTCAGATCAACTTTTGGAGTCAATCCAGTTCAAGATGGCCACCACATAGAATCAGCCTTAGCAGACACAAGCCTGGCTGCAAATCAGTTTACAGAAATTCAGCTCAATTTGATGCTTTGTTAAAGACTGCATGAACAAAAATGGACACAATAAAAAAAAATAGCAAAGAAAGTTAAAATTGGATCATCTTTAGCTTCTTAGTTCAAAATGTAGGCGTGAAATGACTGTTTGTGGTCTGCAGTGCAACAAAAACAGAGAAATAGGGTTCAGAACAACGAGCTCAGATACGTTTAAAACCACTGTAATAGTAAAAACTCAAATATTAAAAAATAATTTATAAAAATGGTGCGTAAAAGCCTTCAATATTTTTCTTTTTTATATTTGACTTCCAATGAGTTTGTTGTAACTTTTTAAAGTTATCTTTTTATCAATATTTCTTTAGGCTTTCTGAATGTCTTTCAAAGGTTGAACGTTTTAGGACTTTGGCTGCTTTTTAAAACCCACTCAGCAGAATGTGCTGTGGACATAAAACGAGTGGGGGGAAAAGCACCCACAGCTCAAAGAAAAACTTTAAAAAATGGATCTTCAGTAACCCTAAAGCGCTGTTAAAACCATTCGAGGAAGTTTGACTCCTTGAAAGAATCGGTTTAAAACTTTTACATGTTATGGTATACTAGTCCAGAAATGTTTTCTTTGGATCTGTTTTTCTTTTTAACTCTTTAATCATTCGCAAATCATTGCAACCTTTTTGTTACACGATATGCTGACCATGTGTGCAAAGGGTTTTAAATAAAATGTACCATTACCATGAAAGCTTTTTTTATTCACCTAAAACAAATACAACTGCAACTGAGCAAAATAGTTGAGGCAATTTGTGAAAGTGTGGAGGACTACTGAGTAAATCGATGTCTCGAGTGATAAAATAAGCTTCGCAGCCTTCTGACAACTAGAGGCCTGTAGAGCTTCCAAAAAATAAAAAACATTTCTTTTGCAGCTTTTTGGCTTTATCCATTAGGCGAGACTCGGACTGTTGAATGAGCGTGCATCAGAAAAGAAGGATGATAAGACACCAGCTAAACTTCAACAATAATGCTGCTTTCCATTGGCAGGTCAGTCGGGCTAAGCTTGTGCGGTGCAATAAAACTGAGCACTCAGTCCAGAAAAAAGCAGATAAAACTACAGTGAGATGAGGCCCCTTCATGGCCATGAGTGGATTCAATCAGAGTGAATTAGAGATGTGAAGGGTTCCAAGGTTTGGTCTTGTTTCAAGTGGAGATGTGGGGGGAATTGAAAATTGACCCGCAGCCTTCATTTAGTGACAATGTGCTAAAGTATTATAAAGTATGATGGGTGTTCATCACCGCGATCTGCACAAGCAGGGGCAACACGGCAGCACAAAGGGCTTTCAATTGAAAACTATAAAGCTCATTAGTTTAAACGCTCAGCATCAGCACCAATCAGAAGTTGCATTAGCAGCAAGAGGGTTCCTGGATGATTTACACTTACCAAAAAAATTCCAAGCACAAACTGAGAAACAAATTAATCAGGCTATTGTGATCTATAGTTTCCTAATAAAAACACGTCTAAATTATAAGGATATGTGTAGTTTAAGGAGACATTTAGGTCGCCCGATTCATTCTACAGCACTGACAAGAGTGAGATTTCCCTCCTAATGTTCACATCATTATTCAACTCAGAAGAACGTGACGGCAAAGGATGAGAAAAAACAGCAAATGCTGAAGGAAACACATCCAGTGATTTAGCTTCAGAGGTGAAGATTGCAGGAAAATAAGCCAAAGAAAGAAGAATGCAGCAGAAACTGGGCGATGGTGAACTGCCTGAACAGAATGAAGGTTCAGCAGATAAGTTTTCTTGGTGAACAAGGTATGTGCTGCATGTTTTTACAGTAAAAACAAGCTAGGTTTCACAAGAACCCGAAACTTAGTTTTGATTGGGAGTTGACTGTCAGAAACCCGTAGACCTCTGAAGGCTGAAAGAGAAGTTAAAGTGTTGGCTGTGAAACAGTTTTCAGCTTGTTGGAGTGTGAGGGCTCAAAATTGGCTGAATTTCAGTATTTTATATTTATAAACTTGGGCCAAGATTCCTGCAGGTCACGTCCAACTAAATGAGCAGAAGAGCCTCCAGACAAGAATGTAAATTTTAACATTAAAAAAAAAAAAATCATTAAGATCTTTTTGCACAAAACAATTATTTTATAAGCCTGTGAAAGGAAACTTTTATGACTAAATGCAAATATTGTAAACAGAAAATAACTGGAGGACTGGGTCTTCATTTAGATAACTTTTACATCACAAAAACGTACCAACTTACCTTTACTAGACACATTTGAACAAATATAAATCACAGTTGTGCCACAATACAGATGTTACAACTGGACTTTAAAAAAAAAAAACAGGAAAAACTACATTTGTGTTAATTTCCTACATTTTGCTATTATTGCAAAATAATTTGAACAAACTCATACCTTTAATATTGTAGCAACTGGAAATATTTACATTCCTTAACTTGTAACTATAGTTTTAAGCTAAAAATATCCTGGACTATGCAAAGTCTACTGACCCCCCACCACCCCCAGTTATGATTAAAAAATGTACTGAATTTCAAACTTTTCTCCGTCAGATGTTTCATAGGGCTGCTGACTACAACGGAGCTTTAGGGCCACGCTAAGAAAAAAATAATAATTACCAGTTAAAAGCCATAAATTACATGAATAAAGTCCTAGTATTATGAGAATAGTCAAATAAATATTACCAGAATAAAGTCGTACAAGACTCTTTTTTTGCAGCTCTCGTTAATTTTTTTCCACGAGTCGAATCCACAACGCGACCTGTCAATCAATCCAGTAGGCGTGTCAGCAAATGACCAATCCAACGCTAAATGCTTCTTACCTGCAGAGCTGTGCTGCAGCCCATCAGAGTGTACCACTTTATTGTAATCAGATTCAAAGTCCTGATACTGATAATCTGATGTTGATGTGCTAACAGATTAACTATCTCCTTATTTGTAAAAGCAATACCAAAGTATAATTTAACAAGATGCTCAACATTCTTCATTTTACCAGTTAAGATCCAGTAAACCCTGCTTTATTACTGTTGGAGTCAGCCTCTCCACCATCACAGACATTTACACCTTCAGGTGCAGGAAGAGGGCCACCTGCATCATGAAGGACCCCACTCACCCAGCACACACTTTTTGCTCCGCTCCCCTCAGGAAGGAGGTTAAGGAGCATAAAGTGTAGAACCACTAGACTGAGGAACAGCTTCTACCTTGAGGCTGTTAGACTCATGAATCTCTAATCAGGATAATCACTGTGAAAAATCACACCATGTTGCTGCTGATCTGTTTCATGTTGCTGCTGCTCCGTTTCATGTTGCTGTGTTCATTCGTGCTCATCTGCTCACACACTCATGTTTGTTCTGCTGTTCAACGTATATTTTTTTATGCTATTATTGCTTAGTGTATTTTTAATTAATGTTTTTCTTAGTTCATATCTTAGATCTTAGTTTTTCTTTTACATTTCATATAACTGGGACCCTGTGTAGTTTCATTTGCACCACATGTGGTACAAATAAAGAATCTTGAATCATTTATCGTGTTGGAGTTTGGATAATATTACGACTCATTTAGCTTCGGATTGGTCATTTGCCGACACGCCTACTGGATTGATTGACAGGTTGCGTTGTGGATCTGACTCTTAAAAAGAAAAAAAATAAATAAACAAAAGCAATATTTTTAAAAAGTCTTGTACGACTTTATTCTCGTAATATTAACTTTGACTTTATTCTAATACTAGGACTTTATTCTCATAATTTTATGGCTTTTTAAAAAAATTTTCTTAGTGTGGCCCTAAAGCTCCGTCGTAGCTGACCAACCTAAACCAAGTTGTTTATGTATTCATTGTGAATTGCTCTTTTAGCCTCGTTATTTATGGGCTGTGTTTGTAATCTCACTATAGTCATATTTGTTTTTTGTTGTATCGCCAAGCTGTTAGACAAAAAAACAAAAAAAATAACAAGGTAAACTTGTTTGCTTGTTTTTATTTCTGTTTTCTTAGGAATCAACTCATTTGAACATACAAAACCACTGAATTTTTTTATGAGACAAGTGCCTCAGAAAACACAGAAAATTAAATAAAATAAAAACCTATTACGGAGGAGGGGAAAAAAAAAAGTTTTTCTGGAGGATCGTGAATGTGTGAAACCCTGTGAAAACACATCATGTTGTGATCAAACACACGAAACGAACAGGGCGTCGCGCTGTCCAGCTGAAATTTCCGCCTGCTTTACTTTCATCAGCTGGGAAACAGAGAAGCCTGTTCTGCTGAAGCCAACCACAAGCTTCAACGATTCATAACACTGCAGTGAAAGTCTGTGGTGATGTGGGCTTTCAGTACAATCCCTTCAGTTCTGAAGAATCGCACTCAGATCAGGCCTGCGACGCTAACCTCTCGATGATCCGCCTGTAGTCTTCCACAACAACCTGATAGCTCTTCTCCAGCTCCTCGTGCTGCGTCTGCGTGTCCATCTGGCCCATGTGGGACACCAGCTCTTCTGGCCGAAGACACTTCTTCATCTTCGCCAGTTCCCTCTGGTTTTTCTGCACAATCAGCCAAAAAATACATACCGGGGTTTCAGTTAGCCTGATAATTTCTGACATCAAGCTAGAAACATAAATATGTGGCTTTAACTTCTGACACCTTGTGATATCCAGCAGAACAGGCAGAAACCTGCAGGACTCACTCATTTAATGCCAGAAGTCTGGTCAGAAGTGATCTTCAGCAAAGAGTTGCAAACAAAAAGCCTGACGCGTAAACAAAGCTATCTGACCTAACTATGCAAAAATGGCAGCAGGTGCTCTATGCTGGAGTCACATTTAGACAGATATGGCTGCAGAAGAAGGCAGTGTGTTCGCTGAGGGCTGCAGAGTGGTCCAATAATGTGTCTTAAGACGAGGCTGCATTTCTGTGAATGGAGTTGGAAATCATTGGTTTCAGTGCTGAGAAATACAAGCCGATGCATTTTCATGAGGGAAGCATCTGATTGCTCACAGATGTATTCTGCAGCAGAGCAGTGAGCCCGACTATAGTGTCGTTATATTATCAGCTTAAAAATTAAGAAGTGCCAAAAAAGTGATTCTATGACCCACACAGACCTCTGATCTCAACATCATCTAACATGACCCCCATCTGTAACTCAAACTAGAGATTAGGGATGCACGATATTATCGGCATGGTATCGGACGATATTAGTGTTAAAGTTGAATATCGGACATCGGTCATTCCATCAAAAATAACTCACCGATATAAAAGATGCTGTTTTTGTATGACAACCCAGTGACAAGGACGCCTGCAGCAGCAGTACAACGTGATGACGTCACGCACGCCTACCTGATCTGATCACGGCGGAGAGGACGATGTCACGTCGGCGGTGTGGACTTTTTTAATTTGTTGAGGATGTCGGATTCCAAAGATTTTTGGACTACGCTGAGCCTCGCTACATCAACCCCAGTCTTGAGATATTTTTCTGATGCAGCCTTACCCAAGTTACAAGCCGTCATTTCCAACGTCATTGAGAAGCTAATGGCTGATAGCACTTGTTTTATCACAGACATTTGGACGTCATGTTAGCCCCGTTAGCATGATTAATCTTAAGGCACAAGGGACAGACAAAACTTTGATCTTAAAAAGTCTGTCCTTCATGCACAGGAGTGCAGAGGATCCCACATTGCAGCTAGGAACCTGGAACAAGCCTCCACAAGTGAAACAGCATCGCAGGTGACTAATGCTAATAAATAACATTTAACACTTTTCATTTAATATAAGCTAAAGTGCTATGCATATCATATGGTTGTTAAAAAAAAGAAACTGTCCAGATGACCTGACTGAAAAATGTTGGGTTGTTAATTATTATGTTAAAAGAAAGTACACGTTGATCAAAAATAATCATAAAAACTCATCGGCAATGCAAAACTCAAAGCTTGGTGCAGCAGCAGCTGTAGGTGACATCACACAACCACGCTACTTTCAAACAGAACCTTAAAACATTATTAAAATTCTCACTTGAAGGCTGCATAAAGCCCAGGCTGTGTGCGCGGAAATCCTGCACATGTAGATACGATCACCAGAAAACTGGGAGAAATGTACCATCCCTTTACATTTGCAGAGCTGCAGCCTCCGTCAGCTAACTACATGCTAAAATCTTTCGGGTGGGGGGAGAATATCCTCCTGCATCTGGCCACCAGATCTTTTACAGCCACTCTCCCAGGAATTCCTCCTTCCCACTTTTACCACATAGGTCTTTTCTGTGTCAGCTTCTGCCTTTCCCTGCGACGTGCGGTTTCCCCGCTGACAACATATTCTCTAATGGATGGCGTGCAAAGTTCCACCGAGCAGCTTGAACAGAAAATGTCACAGGGAAACAGGATGTAGGGGGTTATTCTCGTGTGTGGATCTACTCGGTGTTTCCATGTCGTTTGAAACTCAAACGCTTTCTGTCGGGTTTTTATAACTACACAGCTCACCCAAAGCATACAAAACAACAAAAACACGATAGAAAAAGTGCACTGCTTCTGAAAAGCACTGAATTCTGAATGGTTGCAGCCTTTTTGACAAAGTGCTTTAAGCGCGCGTTCATAAAATGATTTCTCCCAAAGAAATGCAAATCCTGACTAATGACATGCCTGAATAGGAGAAAAAGCTCCAGCAGCAGTGAAACCAGACGCCTGGTGCGCCCTATTGTGGCTGCAACAATACGGCACTCGTAATCTATCAATTTTCACAGGACTGAAGATCAATTCTTCTGATGTTTTAAAAGGTAACATATTAAATGGTGACAATACAAGGCTGTGAGCCGATCGAGTGTATGCAGCGAATGCAGCATTTGTCTTCCCCCAATCAAACAACTATAATGTTATGCTAACAAGAAGTGGAACAGTGGATTCATGTTTGACAGTAAAGACGATCTGAGCTTCACGTTTATTTGAACACATGAGGAAATCACTCAGAAACGTCACTCTGAAAGCACTTTTTTTTTCCTCCACTCCACACCAACACGTGAAGCTGTAATATTTGTAACCTCACCCTGTACGGTCCAAAGAGCCTCCTCTTCACCTCTAACCGGTAGGCTCTCGCTTGTTCTTCATCACTCATGTCTGTCGCTCTTAGACGCAAGATTTCATACACTCGCCTTGCGTGTTTCTAAAAGGGAAAAAAAAAAAAGCACAAATGACATGATTTTTCATAAAACTTTGACACCTATTACTGTATTTTTCGCTGTATAAGTCGCACCTTTTTGCATAAATTAGCATGCCCTGTGACTTATACAGAGAAGTGACTTATTTATGTTTTTTCTTCCCATATTTATAAAACATTTTTTGGCTGAGATCTGACCATTTCATTCATTCTGACAAGCAAAATATTGAACACCAAAATTTTCAGCCACTAGAGGGCCCTTGACTAATATGGCAAGCCAAGTGTATCAATAGGTAAAAGTGGTTAATAATGAGACATTTGGCTTGCCATACAAAGCCACCTTCATCTCTCTACGGAACTCCTGGAGCAAATGTCAAATCAGCTGCATTTCGCTGCGCCGTCCATGTGAAAAGCAGCTAATTTGACCATCAAAGTGCATTTATTAAGGAAAAGTTAGACTGAGACACACCTGATATAATATTGAGCAAATAAATAATTGTTTTTAGGCAGTTATCTTGTTAAATTCTTGGTAAAGTCATCCCGTGCACACTCCCGCAACCACCATTTGACAGCCAATTGATTTTTGGCACACCAGCCCACATTTCCAAATTTCAAATGGTGTCCCCATTGAGTTTGTTGATTCCTATAAATATTTGGGTATCTTGGTCGACTCACATCTTTCTTTTAAGCTTCATGTGGAAAACTTGGTAAAGAAACTGAAAGTTAAACTGGGTTTCTTTTTCAGAAACAGATCCTGTCTAACCCTGAATGCTAGAAAACGCCTTGTATCTGTGACTTTCCTTCCCTCAATTGATTTTGGTGATATTATTTACATGAACGCTCCTACAAGAACCCTGCAGATGTTGGATGCTGTCTATCATGGTGCACTAAGATTCATAACTGGCTGTGATTGTCGTACCCACCACTGCACCCTGTATTCATTGGTTAACTGGACATCATTAACTTCACGCAGACTCTCTCACTGGTACATTTTCATCTTTAAATCACTTCTTGGTCTGCTGCCTTCATACATCTCCTCCTACATGTCTCTGCGTGAGTGCAGCTACGGAGTGCGCTCTCAGGACATTATTACCTGCAGTGTTCCCTCAGTGAGGACTGAACTAGGCAAAAGGGCCTTCTCCTACTCCGCTCCTGTTTCCTGGAATATCTTACAAAAAGATTTGAAGCTCTCGACCTTGACCTCTCTAAGTGGCTTTAAGAATCTGTTGGACTCCTGGCAGGGACCAATGCAGACATGTTCCTGTTTTTAGTTTTATACATTTGTCTCGGAATCTAGCAGTTTTTTTGGTTTTGTTACCTTTTTCCTTTTAGCCATCCTATTTGTAAAAAAAAAAAAAAAAAAAAAAAAAAAAAAAAAAAACTTTAGTATGAGTTTTTATAACTGTTTATTGTTGTTGCTGTTGTCCATTGTTGTCATCTTTCTTTGTTGAAATCAGGTCTCTCTTGTAAATGAGTCCTCGAGGCTCAATGGGATTTACCTGTATAAATAAAGGTTGATTGATTTCCAGGTGGTGATGCAAAACAAACGTGACGCGTCAGCGGTGACGCATAATAGATTCGACTTATACAGCGGTGCGACGTGTACGGCGGCAAGTATGGTACTAATATCCTCCATGTTGTTGGACAGAGATAACTAAAAATAAAAGCCAACAGAGAGAGAAATGCAGTGACTTTTGATCACCTTGGCTGCATTCTCCCATATAAGGCAGATTACAGCTCCTCAACATCTTTATTTCTTGTTATTTTTCACACCTTGAAACATAAAGTGGCAGAAGTGGAACACCTCAACTCATCTGTTACTGGGCAGTAAAATGTGCGTGTAGAAGATTGTTTCTTTGTAACACTTCTTGTGCTTCCTTAAACTAAATTTTTAAGACTACAAATATTACAGACTTCCACCTATGAGTTTTTTCACAAAGCATGTTGTTGCCACAAATTGGCTCCTCGCTATGATGAGTTCATGGACTGGGGAAAAAAAAGAAGTTTGTTTTCGTAGTTTCAGATTAGCCGGTCAAGCAGCTAACGTCACTGCCAACGGGTTGTTGCACTCCTAGCTGCTACTTACTTATTTATTTGTTACTCCAGTAACAATCAGATGTAACACTGGAAAAATTACAATATGCAGAAGCTGAATAAAGTTTAATGAAAGTTCAAACAAGCAGCACGCCAATGCCACGTTGCAAGGGATTTGAATAGTGAATGTTTGTAGTTTTCTACATGAGTGTTTTGATGGACTGGAATTGAACAGGGAACACAATTAAACCTTCATGTTTTCTGTGCAAGATATTCAAGTGGGAAGAAGTTAAACTGTGTACAAGAACAGAGGAAGTTGTTTTCTTGTCTGATGTGGCGCAGAGTGGTGGATTCTGGCGAGAGGAGGGAGCAATTTTATCCACCACCAATGGCGGAGCCAGGGGGTGACCAATGGTGGCCTTGACTATGGTGTTGGCGATCTTGTATTTTGACGTGGCAACCCAATTTTCAGTGAAGTAAAGTAAAATGCTATGTGTTGTCATCATAGTATGTTCCCTTACAGCGGTGAAATCAGTCTCTGCATTTAACCCATCAAACGTGAGATACACCCAGGTGGAGCAGTGGGCAGCTATGTAAGCACCTGGGGAGCAATTAGGGATTGGGTGTCTTGCTCAAGGACACCACGACACATGGAACTGCGACTTTCTGGTCCCAAGTCGGCTGCCCTACCTCTACCCCATCTCGGCCAATAGGGACCTTTCTTACGCCTCGACGCAGCCTCACACCAAAATGTAAGTCACCATCTCATTTATTTTTTCTGTTATTTCCAATTCCCCTCTTTGCACTGTAACAGGGGACAATAAATGTTTCTCCTGTAATCTGTCTTTCATAGCAGTTCTGACTTTCATCAGCAATAACAGATTCAAAGATGAAACCAGTTGGATGCAGTTATTACCCCGTACCTTGTTGATTTTCAGCTTCTCTTGCGCCTCTTTGATCATGTCAGCCGAGAAGCCGCGAGGCAGCTTGTCTGCAGCGAAGGGCGGCAGGCTCTGGCAAAGCTTCACCAGCACGTAGTCTCTCAGCTTCACGTAGTTCTCTGAGGGGTCTTCAGCTGCAAACACAAAACCAGTTTACACAAGCTAACTATGGGTGTGCAGGTTTGTCCGTCATCTACAACACAGTAATGCAATAGTCCTGTAAGAATCATAACATTTGACAACTGCCATTAAAATAATTAACAACAGAAATAAGTCGTTGTGTATATTTCATATACTGTATATGTGCACTGCCATACAAATGCACTGACATAATAATATATTAGCAACAACAGCAACCAAATATATGGCTTAGCCCTAAACACTGCCCCTCTTTTATTTTTTACAACACTCATTATAAAAATTAAAATGATTCTGATTGGCTGCCCCAAGTAAGGCTGGATGAACCCCAGTTATGGGACAAATCAGATCGGACACAAACTCAAGTCTTTTTTGCTCAAAGGCACACGTTGTGGTTCGTGTCTCTTGTAAGCTCACTTACTGAAGAAAAAGAAAAACATGCTTTTCAGGAGATAGTTATAATAAAAAGACTAAACCAAACGAGAAACTCTTGATGTAATATGAAAGAAATCCTTCCACCTAAACAATTTCATCTTGAAGTGGTTTTAAGTGTTTTTGTTCTTGCATCATAATAAAAATCATCAATTTGAGCCAACAAATACATTCTGAAAGATCGACCATGCAAACTAACTAACTGCAGAAAAAAAAACAAAAAACATTTGACTCTTCACAAATGAAGCCTGGATCTTCAGATGACATCTCAACATCCTAAAAGAGGTCCATGCTCACCTGTGATGTCCAGAACTTTGGGCAGGCTGCAGTAAAACCTGTGCACTGCCTCCAGGAGATGAGCACCATGACCTTCTCCTTGGAAAGGAGGCAGAATCAGCATTTGGCTGTCCAGATAAAGGAAAGAAACAGGCCCAAATCAGATTATTATTATTATTTTTTAAATAGGCTAGTTTAAAGTTGTGAGAAACACATTTATCTGCTGTGTAAGGAAGAGTTTTTCCTCAGTGGGAATAAAAACTCCTTGATTGAAAGCGGTAAATAATAGACAGTTACAATGACTCACGAATGATATAAACCAAATCTCATCAAAAGCGTATCCATACAGTTGTTTTCAGATACAAATCACCCTGGTTTGGTGCTGAAACAAGATCTGGTTGAATGGTTGGCTATATAAGCCAGTAATTTGGGCTTTTTGGGAAAAGGATAAAGAAATGTATAATTTTCCACTCCTTTTAAAACACAAAAGAACGGGAAGGCACGTGCTGCCCCGGCAATTACCTTACACGTGGTCGGGTTTTGTCTGGGTATACGTAGTAATTATAAACTGTCATGTAGCCAACAGTTGCGTAGAGAGTCTCCCCGTCTTTATTGTACTTTTCAAATCTGCAGATAAAAGACAAAGGCAAACAGGTCAATTACAGGCACACTCCCATGCAGTGTCCATTTTAGCCTCTGTTTTCGTGCCCACCCCTACCTACCCCCCCGCTTCAGCATGTTCGAGCAGCGAGGGCCCGATTGGTACACCTGCTACAACCTGAATACATTATGCACTTAATTGGAGTACTGCAACTTAGAGGAAGAGAAGGGTTTGGAGGAGGGTTTGAGCTCCTCAAAATCACTTCAGTCCATTTTGCCCATTGTCACCATTAATAGGTGCCAGGGTAAAGAAAACACTGGCAGAGGCTCTTTTTACTGTTAAGACATTGTTCAGTGTTTCAAAAGACAACAGTATTCAATTCAGCTCTTGCCCCTGAAAAATCTGAAAAGGGCTTTTGGCACAAAGGAAGCTCTTGCCTCATCAACAATTCTCCTACAGGGGGAAATATAATCAAACTGTCCTGGTAATTGGTCACAAGCGCCTCAAAGGAGGGCTTTGTTTTTCAATGACACAATAAAGCCTTTAGGGTAAAGCTGGGGGGGGGGGGGGGGGTGTCAATTAAGGAGGGCACTCACACAAGAAAGAAGTCCCAACGATCGTCGTCTGTGTCTATGAAACTGGCTGTCTCGATGAACCACATGAGGAAGGTCTGCAGGCGCTCGTGGTACTCTTGGAATCCAGGGCAGGTGATGTCGGCCTGGGGCGAACGAAGCAAAAACGCTAAGGTTTACATCTCGCCCTAAACTGACGTTAAAACTCAAAGGCTTGATGAGATGATGCACCTTGTGAATCTGGTAGGCGAGTTCTCCCGCCTCTTCGTTGTGGACGGTGTACGAGTGGAGCATGGTGCCGAAGGGCTTGAAATTGGCCTCCTTCTCCAGCAGCGAGATGAAGTCGTCCGTGTTGGAGGTGAAACCGGAGGGAATTATTTCCCGGGTCTTCCCTTCAACATCGTCCGGCTGGAGAACACAACGAGATTTGATTTTGTTCAACAAATTACTCTAAAGTGTAATTCAAAATAATATAGGAAATCTTATGTTGATCTTCTTTCTTGGGTCAAAACTACAATTTTTTTTAAAAACCAAGAGGTTTTTTTTAGCGCTGCTAGAAAGAAAACCATTAGGCAATTAAAACCATCAGCTGAGCAGAGACCAACTCCCCTCCTCCCCGACGAGGCCACTTAAATCTGTACATTTACTACTTATGTTAAACCATGAATATGTGATGAAGTTGCCACAATAAACAAATTCTGCTTCTCACTGGGGAAAAAAAAAAAAAATCTTATGAATTGATCTCAGCTTAACAAACCTTTGGGCGTCCATAATGGAGGCCTCGCCTCTAATCCTGCCAAGTGAACCCAATCAAATGAATTTGGCCCCTGCGTTTTCAAAGAGCCTCAGAGACAAAGGGCCCCTTCCCCTGGACTTTTTACTCAGTTCAACGTGTGGTTAGTTCAGCTGTAATGTTTGCATTGTATCCATTTCCACAAGGATTGACATGAGAACACTTTGCTAAGCGGCCCTTTCACACCATTTACATGTGTGATGGGCATTATTGGAGCACACAGACCCTTGCTGCTCTGCATTGAAAACTGGGAAATGAAGAAGGTCTGAGCAAAATGCACTACAAAAGGCTAATACAACATACTACTAATTCCCCCCTTTCAGACATCAGCTAATATCTAACTGGAAGTAATGCACCTGCAGCTGAATGCCTCTCAACTATTGTAATTGTTCAGCCACATTTCTGGGGAACAAGGACCACACTTAAAAGGCCACGGACAAACAAGTCACTTTGTCCCGAGCACTCTCTTATATACTAGACGCTAAATTGCACAGCCTTCCAGAATAGATACCTCAATCTGCCATGAATATAACTTAACAATGTTCCCTTTGCAGCAGTTTGTTGATGTCTTTGATTTCCAACAATAGGTACAAAGGAAGCACAAACTATCTAATTTGCTACATTAGTATTATTTCATCTGTTTATTCCACTTTGAGATTCATGCAGTCGTTACTTGTGGTAATTTTAGGTTTTAAACTACAAGTTTTACTCGTTCAAAGGGATTAGTACTAATGAGAAACATTTTATAAAACTATTTAAATGTCTTCATACGAACAAAAAAGATGTGGCACTAATTGAGTTTTCTGGAAAACGTCCAGCAGAGTGGTTTGAAGGCGAGAAGGTGAGTTTTGGTCAGAGACCTGTATCAATGTAGCAGCTGCATAAACCCCATCTCACCGTCCCCTCATCCCTCGCCAGCTGCACCGCACTGCGACCGTCCACACGCACTCAGAGACAAACGATCTTCAGAAGCAGCCTGAACTGTGCAGCTCGCCTCTCTCTGCCTCTACGTCGGCAGCTGCACTCAAACCCTCAACGAGGCCAACCAGCACCCAGGGGTCAACGCTGAACTCTGAGCAGTGGTCCACACTGACATCACTTTTCTATTTGAAACGTTGGCTTCAAGCAGCTTTATGATAAAAAGGAGAGGTTGGTTGATGAGTTTACCCCTTTATTTTCCTAAAGCTATTACAAATGTATGTCCAAGCACACAAATAAACATCAATTCCCGATTTCTGATTATCCATTTTTTCTCACTTTAACCAGTTCAAGAAGTTAAAACAGGCAGTGGATGTTTGTACAGGGCACTGTAGCATGTGGCAGTAAATATGGATGCTACACGTCACACTGTGTGCATCAACGTTGCAGTTGTGCAATCAGAGCCAACAAAATTGTAACCAAGTAATAAAGAGAAGAAGACTGGGAAAACAGTAAAAAGAGTACAAGAGCAGCCATTCTAGTTTTGTTCAATGTTTACACGTGCTCTCGCCTATAAACATCAGAAATCATTTCAAAGTCACCTGGGTCTGATTTGCAGAAAAAAAAAACGCCAAAAATCCCAATGAACAAATGAAAAACTTAACTATTTAAAGACTGTCATAAAAGTGTAAAACTCTTCTACTAAGTGTTTAATTGAACTCGTGGATTTAATGAAATTTGAGATGTTTTAAATGTTGGAAAAACGCTCTTCAATGGGCCCTCTTCTGGGCGGCTGTGGCTGAGTGGTTAGAGCAGTCGTCCTCCAATGCAAGAATTGGGGGGTTCGAATCCACCAGCAGTCACATGCCAAAGTGTCCCTGGGCAAGACACTGAACCCCACGTTGCCTCCGATGTGTGTCCCATCGGTGTATGAATGTGATAAAGCTCTGAGTAGTCTCTTTAGAATGATTTGTTCAATTAGCTTTGTAGAGATCTAGTAGTGCTGTGTGAATGGGTAAATGAGGGCACAGATTGTAGTGTAAAGCGCTTTGAGTGTCTTGATCAGATAGAAAGACACTATATAAGTACAGTCCATTTACCATCGTCTCCTTGCTTAAAAATCCCTGATTTTCAAATTTGAGATCACTGACTGCCATCTGCTCCAGGTAAGATACTGACTAGTGATAACTACTTGACACAAAATTTGATCACTGCTCCTGGAGATGAGGCTTTGGGGATCAAGTCTACACTCGGAGAAACATAAAAAAACGATGTAATGAATTAAATAAATCTATTTATTACAAAAACATGAGTCAACGATCTTCACTGACAATAACTTAAAAACAAAACAACAAAAGAATTGTGATAAGCCTCAGATACAAAATTATTTTCAACTAGGCAATTGTAGAGTTGACCAGTTGCAGTGATGTTTGTCTAACAAAACAGGAGATTTCTTTTCTGAAATAATGTCATCCTCCAGAACGACTTTAAAGCCTCAGAGTGGGAAAAAAAAACACATTCTCAAAGTTAATGACTCCACTTGAAGAGTAAGATTGTTTTAGAGGCAATTACTTAGAAAAAACTCCCTTCTGTTAAAATCACTTATTTTCCTTCAGATAAATAAAGACATTTTTGTGCAACACAGCAACATTTTCAACCCCTCCCCCATTACCTACAGCGTTTTAAGACTCAAATTAAAAAAAAAAATGCTTTTGTTTAAACTACTGTGAAATACAGTAAATCTTATTTTACTCAAGTGTCCATCATACCCACTACAAAGTATTTAAGCAAATCTTTCATTAACAAATAATTTGAAGTTTTTTATTTATTTCTTACAGCTTTACAATTCTGAACCGAGTTCAAAATATCCAACCGTAACTCTCGACTACGTTCCACTTTCCATTCACAATGTGAGCTCAGATCATAAAAACTTCTTTGACCACAATATAAAAATAAGAAAGCTGACGACAACACAAGAATTGTAAACAATAAACTTGCAAAAAATGACATAATCAAGATATTCTGGTCTTACCTCCACACAATCAAATGTGTCTGTGACTTTTGAAGAATATTTAACTTTGAAGAGGGTGCTCAGGTTTCCAGCGGTGTAGAACAGCTGGATCTGAAGACCTTTGTATCCAAAAGCAACCTCACTGCAGGGAGAAAATTATTTCAACGATAAAAAGTCAGAAAAAGTTGCAGCTAATTGACAGAAAATACAGACAAATAATACATCAAATACATTTCACTGCAGAATAACCTAATTTTAGAGGAAACTGTAACAATTTGATTATTCTTTTTGCATGAAAATGGCTGCGAGAACACCTGGAGAGTACACAAAAAAAAGTTTGCTCGACTGACTTGTATCACTGTGCTGCATTGTGATATAATAATGAAATAAAATAAACACATGATGACAAAACTGATTCATCATTATGCAACTGCGTGATTAAGGTTTACTAGCAATTAACGCTTGGCAAAATAATTAATGCCCCAATTACAGAGTTCCCTTTGAGCTGATTGCAGCAAGCGCAGAAATAACCAATCCTAGTTTTGACTCATTTGGAAGAATAATTTAGAGCTAAATGAAATGCTACTGAAAGTCCTTGCACAGAGACAGGTGTCAATTTTTTCAGTGCACAAATCTTGGAAGGGTAACACTTAGATATAAAATAAAACAAATCTGTGCTCATGATCCCAACAAAACATCAAACAAATCTGACACATTGTTCACCATCAGAATGAACTATGAAGAACAAACACATTGCTACATAAATTGCCAATAGTAAGAAATGATTCTGACAAATATTTAGTACCAAGTCTACTATAGGAAGTAATATAAATCATAAGTTGACTAAAATGTGGGTAAATTAGCTCAAATTTAACACTGTACAATAAAATCAGCTGGTTTTGATATTGTCTTAAAGCAGCTGATCAAAACATGGGGTATAGAAGAGAGATGGTTTAATAGTTTTATTTTGGTTGAAATATAAGTTCAAGTTCAAGTTTCTTTATCGTCATTCGCATCACCGCCTTCAGGTCTGGAAACTCACAGGAGCTGAGAAGGACAAGGAAAGAACTGAGCTGGTTGCTGGTATTAAGAGGGCCAAGGCCACATACGCACAGAGGATCGAGGGTCAATTCATCTCACAAGACCCTCGGATCATGTGGAGGGGCATTAAGTGCATAACAGATTATAAAGGCAGGAGCGAACAATGCCCCAAAGACCCATCTCTGCCTGATGCCCTCAACAAGTTCTACGCATGATTTGAAGACATGAACAGACCACCCAGCACCAGACTCACCTCACCACTGGATGAAGAACTTCTCAGCGTGACCTCAGCAGAAGTAAGGAATACTTTCAGGAGGATTAATCCACACAAGGCAACCGGCCCAGACAACATCCCCGGAAAAGTGTTGCAAGAATGTGCCGATCAGCTCTGTGAGGTGCTGGCAGACATCTTTAACACCTCACTTACCCTGGAGACAGTTCCCACCTGCCTGAAGACTGCCACCATCATCCCAGTCCCAAAGAGCTCCACAGTGACTGGTCTGAATGACTATCGGCCAGTGGCCCTCACCCCGATAGTCGCTAAATGCTTAAAAAAACTGGTCATGACACACATCAAAACAACCATCAACATCTACAAGGACCCTCATCAGTATGCATACCGTGAGAACCGATGTCCACACTGCTCTCACCTACCTGGAGCAGGACGACTCTTACATCCATATGCTCTTTGTGGACTTCACGTCACCATGATCCCCCAAACCCTGATGGACAAAATATTCACACTAGCAATAAGCCCGTCCATTTGCAACTGGGTACTAGACTTTTTAACAAACAGACCACAGTTAGTGAGGATCCACAACCTCTCCTCCTCCACCATAACCCTCAGCACTGGCTCTCCTCAGGGATGTGTGTTGAGCCGCCTCCTGTTTACTCTGCTCATGTATGATTGTGCAGCTACCCATCCAGGCTGTCACATTGTAAAGTTTGCAGATGATACAGCGGTGGTGGGATGCATCACAAACAATGATGAGTCCAGCTACAGGCAGGAGATGGAACACCTGGAGAGCTGGTGCAAAGAGAATAACCTTCACATCAATGTGAAGAAGACAAAGGAGATGATTGTGGACGTCAGAAGGAACAAAAACACCTACACCCCCCTGAACATAAGAGGATCTGCAGTGGAAGTGGTCTCCAGCTACAAGTACTTGAGTGTACACATGAATGACAACCTCAGCTGGAGCAACAACACCACCAGCCTGATCAAGAAAGCTCATCAGAGACTCTACTTCCTCAGACGGCTGAGACGAGCTGGTCTGGGAAGCTCAGTCCTCACCTCCTTCTACAGGTGTGCAGTGGAGAGCATCCTGTGTTCCAGCATCAACGTGTGGCATGGAGGCTGCACAGAAGACTGTCGGAGTCAGTCTCCCCACCATCACAGACATCTACGCCTCCAGATGCAGGAAGAGGGCCACCTGCATCATGAAGGACCCCACTCACCCAGCACACACACTTTTTACCATGCTCCCCTCAGGAAGGAGATTAAGGAGCATTAAGTGTAGAACAACTAGACTGAGGAACAGCTTCTACCCTGAAGCTGTTAGACTCATGAATCTCTAACCAGAATAATCACTGTGAAAAATTACATCATGTTGCTGCTGATCTGTTTCATGTTGCTGCTGATCTGTTTCATGTTGTTTCTGATCTGTTTCATGTTGCTGCTGATCTGTTTCATGTTGTTGCTGATCTGTTTCATGTTGCTGTGTTCATGCGTGCTTATCTGCTCACACAGACTCATGTTCGTGCTGCTGTTTGACGTAATGTTTTAAGCTACTAGTGCTTAGTGGATATTTAGTTGATGTTTTTCTTAGTTCATATCTTAGATCTTATTACTGTTTTTCTTTTACATTTTTATTGTTGGATGTAATTGGGACCCTGTGTACATAATCTCGTTCCACCACATGAGATGCGAATGACAAATAAATCTCTCTGACTCTGAGCACATGTGGTACATGAAGTGGAACGAAATTATGTACTCAAGGTCCCAGTTACATCCAAAATAGGAAAAATATAAAGCATAAAAAAGAAACTGTACAAGAATCTAAGCTACATGCTAAACGAACATTAAACGATACGCGAAAAGATCTAAGATATACGCTAAACACTAATAATGTAAAATAATATGGTATATTAAACAGCAGCTCGAACATGAGTTCGTAGTGAGTAGATGGGTATGAATGAATAAATGAATGAAAGAAACAAATAAATAAAATAAACTCACTCGTCTCCAAATAACTGGTGGGTGTACTCTGGGTGGAAAGTGGTGCTGTCATCATCAACATCCTCAGGAAAACGGACTGAAAGCATCAAGACCAAAAACAGTGAAAAAGTATAAATAGTACAACAAAATTTACATACACTTATTTCATCAAAGTCATGTTCATCACATTCCCAAAGTATAAAAAAATAAAAATACGCCCACCCAGCTTCAGGCAAACTGCTTCATTGGTGTCACACTTGTATTCAGCCAGTTTCTTCTCCATAGCATTTACTCCTGAGGAAAAAACATAAAAACAGTGCGTTAAACAATTATTTAGCTATTAAAGAACAGCTTTTAGATTTGATTATCTTTCATTTCTGGTCTGGTGATCAAACAAACAGAACAAATACGTGATATAAGAAATACTGCCTAAAACTCAGAAGAAGAATTTTAATTTTTTTCTCTGATATTTTATTTTATTCTATTTTGTGACAAACTTACGACCACTGAAGGTAGACACCATGACCGTGAACAGAATCAAACTGATATATAAAATGAATTAATTTCTTACATTATAACCAAACAAATAAATGTACAGTATAGCGATTTTTTTTTTTAAATGATGAAAGCAATAATTGCTGAAAAAAGGTTTGTAGATTCACTCATTGAACCAACTTATCCTCATGTAGTATTTTAGTTTCTGCCACCTTTCAAAGAACATATCTGACTTCAGAAATGAATCAACATAAACAATAACCTCTTGTATTACTCAGCCTACTTTAATAACTCAAGCTAGGTTCCCTAAATAAGAATAAACACTGTCAAAGCAGTCTGGCTCCTCAGATAAATAACGCTATTAACTGACTTTTTGTGTGTGAATGTTTCTGTGCGGTGCCCTGAGATGACTTCTGTTGTGACTTGGCACTATAAATGTATACATAAACTGAATTGAATCATACTGACCAATACTGTCACCAATATTTATTGTCATTATTCACGTGCTGGAGAAAAACATAACCAGCACTAATGAATATAAACTTTATAAACTAAATTTTATTTCTGACTTTTAATGCCATTTTTAATATGTGTTCTTAAAACTTGAGCAAAAAAGCACATCATTTGTTGTTCCCTTAGCCCATAGGAAAACTAACAAAGAAAATGTTGTTTATGGCACAGAAATATGCTCAGATAATTTTACAGTTTATGAGCTAGCAGAGAGTAAAGACGGCTTTAATTAACACATTCACTCCCACAATGAAGCCTAAGCGTTACAAAAAATACAAGCACACTACCCTGTCATGACTGATAGCAAACATTAGCAGTAGCTGCAGGCCCTCTGCTTAATGTTGCTAAGAACCGTTAGCTCGTTTTAAGCCGTTTTACAAAAATATAAGCTAAGTTAGCAACTTTAGCAGGTTTGGAGCAGCGCTGACGTTCAAAGGTGGGTGAATTGTACTCCAGTGTAAAATAAATAATTAAAGGCTGGAAATATTTAGCCTCTTACCCGCCATTTTTGCTCAGTGTTGCGCGGAGTTGTGTTGTCCTAAAAGACCCGCGGAAACAGGAGCACATCCGGGTCACGTGTTTCCGGTAAATACGGATGTACTTTTTTTTCTTCTTCTGGCTCCTACCGATAGCTGGATAGTTAATCATTCTAAAATGAATTTAGGATTAACAAAATTAAATCAAAACTAATTTATTTAAATTTAGTATAGATGTTGTTTTTCAAAGCTTCATAAATCCTATTTTCCTTTTTGCGCTAATAACGTTAAACAAATAAAATTAAATGTCATAACACTGAAATAGTTTTGGTAATTCCCCTGACTCCAAAAATATTGCTGTTTTGTCCTGAATGTGTTTTAAAAGTTAGAACTTATTTATTATTTATTTATTTACTTAAACTTACTTACTTACTTACTTACTTACTTATTTATTTCTAAATAATAATAATAGGTTCTATCACTCATGGAAGATGCACATTCATCTGTTTTATTTAGTGGGGAAAAAGGGGAAAAATATAAAGCATTTTAAAACACTTAACACTTTTGCTTTGTGAATCAGACACTTTAAAGTTAAAATAATTTATGCTAGCCTAATTAATGGCATTTTCTTTCCACACATCAAGTGAAGGAAACAATTAAAGAATCATTCAAAACAAGATGCACCTGGTTGATTGACAGAGAACATCGCTCTAAAACAAGAACTGTCTAAACAACTGACAGGATTACAAACTCCATAAAGGAGATTTAACACAGTGTGGTAAACGCATGGCTTAGTGGTTAGCACTGTTGCCTCACAGCAAGAAGGTCCTGGGTTCAATCTCCGGGTTGGACCTCAGGTCTTTCTGGGTTTTCTCCAAGGTGCTCCGGTCTCCTCTCACGGTATAAAAACATACATGTTAGGCTGCTTTCAGGCCCAGGCCTCCCTTTGCAAAAGAGATATGTGATCTTAATGAGATTTGCATAAAAGTTAATAAGCTAATTAAACAAAATACGTTTGTTCCCTGCCGTATTTAAAATAAAGAGAGAGTACAAACAATAATGTAAAGGCTGTAAACAAAAAACGTTTAGGCAAAAAAGATGTCAAAGTCTCAGGATAGAAAACTCGAATGCCATATGCTCATATTTGAAATTTAAATAAGAAACAAATTAAAACAAAAACACATTGATCAATAAATATGTCAGCAGTGTTCAAGAGCAAACTAAAAAACAGTGTTATTGGACACATTAAGTTTACTATTTTCCTTCCTAAAATAAAAATAACTCAAATAGCTATAGAGGAAATTAAACAGTGACAGTGGCCGAAAGATTATTTTAATTCACTTGATGATAAATTACAATTGTTCAATGGGCAAAAATAAGATGTTTTAATTTGGTGAACGTCTGGAGAAACAATAAAGTTGATTCTTATAGAACGCAAGCTTATATTATTATAGTAGCTCATTGAGTAAAGGACCAGGAAAGGGCAGTCATTACTTCTACAGTAGATGTGTTTCTACAGAAATGGTATATCAAAGCCAGCCATCAAGAGCTGGATCCAAAAATTGATCAGGGGGCTCAGAAAGCTCTGTTCTGCAAAAGTATGTCAAAATCAAAAAGCCTTCCAGTAAAAATATAACCATGCAACAGTAAAACATATTACAGTACAGTCATTTGTTTAAAACGGCAATTTACAGTAATTTACTGTCATCTGTATTTGCTTTAATTTCACCAAATAAACTTTGAATATGTGTGACTCAGTGAAAATGGTGTAATTTATGGTAAAATACCAGCAGCTATTGTTGCCAGAAGTTCACAGTAAAACCACCAATGACAATGTTTGACACGGAACAGTGAAAAGTTACGGTCAAATACCAGCAGCTGCTGCCAGAATTTCCCTGTAAAAGCTACAATAGCAATGTATGAGGGCCCTGAGTGAAGCATTGTGATGCAGCTCACCCATAATAGTTAGTGTAGTAGCTCGATCAGCTAGATCTCTGCTTATGTCAGGGCTTTCATGGTGCATTTCAGTTCTGTCACAATTTCTGCTTTCAAATTTGGTAGAAAATTAAAGTTTCTTGGTTACATTTTATCAACATTCAAGTTTACTTCTTTATTCTTTTATTATTCCATTACTAAAAAGGTATAAATAAAACATTGGCAAAGTTGTATAACTATCCAAATGGCCATGGTTTTTCATTTCAAATCATTTAAAGAGTCAAGACACCAAGCATCCCATCAAATTTCAGCAGGAGCTCATTTGGCCGAGCATTTATACTTTACAATAAAAAGGTATTCTGACTTTTAGAAAGCTATTAATTTTTATATTTCTTATATTAATAATATTATTGCCTCAAGAAAATTAAAAATGCTAATAAATATTTTATAATTAAAAGTCTGTGGACACTGAAAGGCTGAGACAACCTGTTTGAAGATATTTAGCAACAGCTTGCTTAGCTACAAAAACAGCTAAAGTGGTTAAAACTAGGTCAACAATGGTGACGTCCACTGAAAAGCAATTTGGAATGAAATAAATCGGATCATTTTGATGTACGTATTGGTACATTTTTACACTCCTATTAATTGGATAAATTGTGCAGAGGTTTTTCAAACAATCTAATTTGACATATACTTGAAAACTCTGTGTATTTCACCAGTTTTTCTGAAAATATAATCATTGTAACTAATTCAGTTAGTTTCTACAAAACACCACTTTCTGAATAGTTCAGTCTTAATTTTGCTGTCATCTCCCATATTTTGTATCAAAACTCACAGTTATATGTTCATCTAAATGTCTTCTTCCAGAATATCTGTCCAACTCTGCCATATTGGTTTACTTATATTGATTAGGGCCAGCCTATAGATCAGTCACATGACTCCTTTATCGGAGGATCTATTTGAGTGCTGTGTTTACATTGAGTGCGGTCACAAGTTCATATCAATACTGTACTGGAAAAAGTACTGAAGTAGATTGTTTCAAACGGCACCATTTAGTTCAGGATTGTTAAGGTCTGATTTATTTTAAAATTCACGATGAGCACTTTTAAAGTTTATAATAGATATAAGAATAAGCAAATTTTCAATGTGTTTTTAATTAAAACTTTTATGCTTCTAGCACAATTTCTACAACATTAAAAGACTGGCTGGTAATTCAAACTCATCAGGGTTTTTGTACAAATTGCAAAAAAAAAAAATTTTAAAATCCTCATATTTGTTTACAGCTAGACTGGACAATCTTGGAATATCTCAGCGCAGCTCATTTAGACATGATTTTAATCTCAAGCTTTGCTTTAACACTCCCCACCGCTCAGTTTCCTGCCCCCAACATTTTTCTACTTTGGTCAACTCTTGTCATTTCATTTCATTTATTTATTTATTTAAATTAGGACAATGCATATTAATCAACATGTCAGCAGTAAGCAGTAATGTAAATATGTCGGAGTTAGCACAATAGCTAATTTTCATCCTTTGTCCTAAGGCAAGTAAGAACAAGAAATATCCCACAAAACCAAAAAGTAGAGAATAATACAAACATCGCACTGTAACACATAACACAACATGAAATTACAATAAAGATATGATGCCATAAGAATTGTCTTACAGATTTTAGTCGCTATTTCTTTTCATAAGAGAGAAGAACTTTATCTTTGACTATGAGCTTAAGATCTCTCATTGTTCTCCTTCTGAATTTATTTACAGCTGGATTATTTCACTGACTCAATATCATGCATGTAAGCAATTAGCTTGTGACTTGTAATTGTTGGCAACAAAACATAAATGTGCTGATTTTGCTCATTTATTACAAATTCACCTTTTTCAAGGATACCAGTGCACATGCATAAACTCTGGCCCCCTGTACCACAGTTCATTATAGCTACATTTGTTATTCAAGGTTTAGTTCTACTCCTTTTGTTTTTAACACTTGCTATTTTGTTGATTTTTATATAAAAATGTATTCATAAATTAGTTGCCTTACAATGTTTTATAATGTGATAGTGAAATTTCCTCGGTGTGCAATGTTGCTGGATGTCAGAATGTCTGCAGAGCATGGCTGAAACAGATAGGGGCCTATTTGAAAACTGTTCTGGGGTGTCCTGGTCCTTGAGGGTCACTGTCCTGTACGATGTAGATGCATTGCTGCTCCAACACACCCGATCAATAGGTGATCAACAGGCTTCTGCAGAACATGAAGAGGAACTTTAACCATTGAAGTGCTGGAACAGGGATACAAGTAGGACAGTGGCCCTCGAGGACAAGGATTGAACATTTACTAGACTAAGGTCCACGCTTTGTCTTTGCCTGGGTCACAATTTAGCATTTGTCATGTTTCTTAGGTCTCTGGATGTCCATATTCTAATCTTCAAGGAATCAACATCACATGTTGAAAGCGAATCACAAGAACTAAACAGTAAAACACTGGATTGGTATAAGTGATTTGTTGCTTGTTCTTTATTTATGTTTGAAATTCAAATACCAATCGTTAATAAAAAAGAAATGAACGCAAAGATGAAAGGCATAAAGTCAACCCTAAGAATGATTTCTAAAAAAATGTATTGGATAAGTCAGTAAGGGTAACAAATACACACAAACAATAAATAAAAGTCAATTTGATGTTCGGAGCATGCACATTTGCATCCATAAAAAGGTTAATAATGCTGTAGACTTTTGGTATATTTTTTAATCACAAATAATATGCAAATACAAAAATAAATAAATAAAATAATAATTGAAACGTGTATTTTGACAGCTCCTTAAAAATCCATACCAAGCAAAAGCTCAGGATACTCTCTCTCCAAATAGGGTGCTGATTTTGGTGGTGGGGGTGGACGTTGCCCCCATGGGCCCCCCTTGTTGGCTGCGCCCCTGCGCTCCGGACGCAGGAAAAGCACAACACAGTTAAATATAGTTCAGCGTCTCAAACGTCTTCCTCCGTCCTGTCATGCCCGCGCGCTGTCATCCCGAAGCCCAGCGCGTGCGCTGCCACTCCAGTCCACGGCGGCTGACGTCACATCCAGCATGGCGGTCAAGGTGACTCCGTCAATATTTCTTATCAGAAACGAATTGAAATGGCGGTAAAGCGGCTGCTAAAGCTCCAGAGGGGGACGCGGAGGAGCGGGGCTGTTCGCGGACGTTCGGGTTTAGCGCTTCGGTGTAAAAAGCAGGAGTCTCCTCCTTTTTATCAGATTTTTGTTTCTTGTCTCTGCATCCTGACAGCCTGTCTGTAGGCGCATCTCCCGGCCTCTCAGCTGTAATTTCTCTCCTCTGATGCTTTTCTGATAGATGTGTCGAGGCTGCTTGTTGTTTAGCTCTGTGGAGAAGAAGAAGAAGAAGATAATAATAATAATAATAATAATAATAATAATAATAATAATAATAATAATAATAATATATCTGTTGCTCGAGTCGTGCTCGATTAAAAAGAACTCTAAAGCTGATTTAATTTAAACTGGTTTTATTGGTGTTGGACGGAGCTGACATGTGAAGCTCAAGCCAACTTTATTTATTTATTTATTTACTTGTTTATTTATTTATTTATTTATTTTCAACTTCACTTGTGTGTTACAGGTGCAAGCCACAAAAAGAGCTGACCCCCATGAGCTGAAGACTATCTTTCAGAAGGTATGAGCTGGTGTCTAACATAAACACATTTTTCTGTGAACTTCCTGTTGGATTATTATGTGTGTGTGAAACTCAGTACAAAATACTTTATTTTTTATGCAGTTTTAGACCTGTTTTCTTATATAAACCCTCTAATATTGTGTGTTTTTTACAGTATTGTGCATGTTGCCCTTCAGTAACCAGTCACAAGTGTGTTGGTTTGTCTCCCCCTCGTCTTATTTGGGCTGTAAACTTGCTCCTATGACTTGGTTCCCACTCGGCTTTAACAGGCCTGTGTAATTCTGATGCAGATTCAGGTAAAATAAAAAGAGGGTGGGGGTTAATTACTGGAAGCTCGTTGTGGCTGCCTGTATAATTTGATTAAGACCTACTTGAGGCCTACTGTGAGGGTGAATAGATACACGATTGTGACGGAGAAATGCGGCGATAGATTGCTCAGAATTAATATTTTCATTTAAAAGCGTTAATTCAGCCGAGTGCGTTGAATTGTAGCCCTGTGAAAACACTTGGCATCGGGGGTCTCCTCCCACCCTCTCTCAGACTTCTTCATCAGAGCTTGGCTCGGGTCCACGAGCGTGGCCTTTCTGCTGCCGGTTCATGCACCACTTCCAAAGCTATCTTGGTGCCAACTTGAAACCCCACCCAGGCTCTATAAATGACCTTAACACCCTAAAGCCTGGCTGAGATCAGGTTTGCCTCGTAAGGCTTTACATTATTTCTTGTGTCAGTTCAAAATGTACAATGGGAGAGCAGACATTTAAAACCAGTTCTTATCACTCAAGGAAAGCTTAAATGACTTTTTCATTAGGGTGACGAAGAATGTTGATTGTTCTGGTTTGATGAGGTGCGTTACATATTTTACTTTGTCAAAATTAAAGGTTTTAATGCTCATTTCCCCCAAAATGAAGTACGACAATGATGTAAAAGAGACTGAAGTGTTTCAGTAATGTGGATGCAGAGGAACATTGTGTATCAAAATATGCTTTATGGTGAGAACGCTTAGTTTTTATTAAACTTGCAGGTGTTTTCAGTCTGAATTGACACCTTCCAGTGTTTACAGCTCTGTCCCCTCTGCAGCATGCCAGCGTGGTGCAGGATGGAGAGCGTTACATGACCCCCCGTGACTTTGTGCAGAATTACATGGGTCTGCACACACATCCTCAACACAACCCCAAAACTGTGGAGCTGATAGCTGGAGTGGTCGACACCACCAAAGATGGGTGAGCAGCTTCAGTCAGAGCGAACGATGAAAACTTTGTCAAGCTTCTTCTTTAACACCAACTGTTTGGTGTTGAAGAACAGTGTTACCGGTTTCTGCTTCATTTTTTTGTGTCCGAGCTCTAAAATTGACTTTTTACTGTTTATGTTCAAGCAGCAAAGTCAAGTCAAGTTAGGATTAAAATCACAGATTTACAGAACAAAATATGCAAACAGGATTTGGGGCTTTTGATCAACTTAAATACATTTTTTTCTGTCTCACTTTACCCAGCTGGCATTGTTTGTTTCCTACTTTTGTCTTTTCCTTCGGTTGTGTTTCTGCTTAACGTCTAATTAAACTCCTGATTTTTTTTATTTTTTTTAGCCCAAGATCTGCTTTTAGTTGTTGTTTTGTCACTGATTGTTGTCTGAGTTCATCATCTGTGTTCCCTGCAAGCGTTCCTTGTGTTCCTATATTATTTGGTGCAACTTCTTGTTGTTGTAAAACCTCAGTATTAACCTGTTTGTTAGTAAAATATCACATGACTGTTGAGCATTCAGTTAAACTTTTTGAAACATTAAATTATGTCATTTATCTTTAGTGATTGCTCAAAGGGGAACTGCATTTGTACCTGGATTATTGAGCATGAACTTTGGTGTTTTGAACCATTTTGGCATAGCTGCCTCAGAGGAGTTGACGGGGGAGAGGGTGGGCCCTGGAGGCCATCTTATCACCAGCAAACTCTTTTTTTCCCCACTATGGGAGTGTGCTGCTTGTGGGACTCAGTTTGTTTGGTGGCTCCTCAGATTGAAGAAGTCCTTTGGATGAAGGACGAAACGTCTCTGCAAAAAAAAAGAAACCATCCAGATGACCTGACTGAACATTGTTGGATGTTTACCTGGATTATTGTGCATGAACTTTGGTACTTTACATTTGTTGCACCAGTTGTCTGACTTGAATTTCTATCTTTTTGGTGACAACATTTTAAATTTGCTTTTGTTTGTTAGAATTTTAAATAGCAACCTTGAGTTTTGCATGATGGATCAGTTGGTAAAGTTGCCTCCTCTCAGTGAGAAGGGCACCCCAATTCAAATCCCAGCCCGGGGGCCTTTCTGGGTGGAGTTTGCATGTTCTCTCCGTGCATGCGTGGGTTTTCTCCGGGTGCTCTGGTTTCCTCCCACAGACCAAAAACATGCATGTTAGGCTGATTGATAACTTTTAAATTGTCCCTAGGTGTGAGTGAGAGAGTGAATGGTTGTTTGACTCTATGTGTCTCAGTGATGGACTGGAGACATGTCCAGGGTGTGTCCCCCCATTGATGGCTGGATATGGGCACCAGTGAGCCCCATGACCTGAAAAGGAAGAAGTGGGTAAAGATGATGGTTGGAGTTTTTTGTGAAGACAAAACTGATTTTCCTGTCGTTGTTGTGAACTATTCAGAGATTCTTTACGGTAAAAAAAAAAAAAAAAAACCTTGGTTTACTGACCCCTCGATTGGATTGATGACTGCTGCAAATGCAACATATTTTCCTTTCTTCTCAATTTTTAGAATAGTTGTCAGAATTTGGCATCTAGCTCTAGAAACATTTAGAATTAAATTGTCTTTCTGAAGGATAAGTTGTCAACATGGAAGCTGTTGAAGTCACTAATAGCCTTTATGTATATAAGATAAGATAAGATAAGATAAGATAAGATAAGATAAGATAAGATAAGATAAGATAAGATAGAACTTTATTGCTCCTGCAGGAAATTATTATGCCAGAGTTTCAGTATAAAGGAATATACACAAGGAATCAAACAAGATATAAAAATGAACATACAT